GCTGGACAAGTCTTTGCCTACATGTAAAAATGGCCTTCTCTTCATGTAGAACCTAAATTTTGTCCAGCATAAGATTTATGAGAACTGCTCCTTGTTCTGCCATGGTTGTATTTCTCTCTAATCTAAATCTTTTTGATTTTCATTTTTGGTTTTCTTAAACACTTCCCTTTTTCATTTCCTCTTGCTTGATTAACTATGCATTTTACAGTAGGCAGAATTTCTCTGCTCTGTGAATAATGCTAATGCTTTGACTGTGAACAAATGAATGAGAAAGCTTTTATTAAGTGCTTACTGTGTGCCAGGCATTGTTCCAAGTCCTGAGGATACAAATACAAAAGTGAGACTGTCATTGCCCTTAATCAATCAGTCATTAAATACTTATTAAGTGACTACTGTATGCCAGGCACTGTGCTAAGTGCTGTGGATACAAAAAGAGGCAAAAGACATAATCCTGCCCTTAAGGAGTTTACAGTCTAATGGGGGAGACAATTTACAAACAAAAATACATGAGAAAAGCTATGTACACGATAAATAGGAAATAATTAACAGAGGGAAGGCACTGGAATTAAAGGCTGAGGAAGGTTTCCTCTAGAAGGTGGGATGTTAGTAGGGACTTACTGGAATGGGGAACAGCCAGAGAGAATGTCTGGAGCTGTGAGGTGGAGTGTCTTATCTGGGGAACAGCCAACAGGCCAATGTCTCTGGATCAAAGAGTACATGTCAGATAGTAAGATATAAGAAGATTGGCAAGGTAGGAGGGGGCTAGGTTATAAAGAGCTTTGAATACCAAACAGAGGATTTTGTATTTGGTCCTGGGGGCAACAGAGAGCCCCTGGAGTTTATTGAGTAGGGGCGGTGATCTCATCAGAACTGTCCTTCAGGAAAATCACTTTAAGGGTTAATTGGAAGATGGATTGGAATGGGAGGAGAGTTGAGGTCTTCAGACCCACCAGCAGGCTATTTTAATAAATAGTCTAGGCATCAGGTGATGAGAGTCTGCACTACAGTGGTGGTAGTATCAGAAGAGAGAAGGGGGCATTGCAAAGATGGAATTGACAGGCCTTAACAGCGTATTGGCTGTGGGAGGAGGTGGTGATGAGAGATAGTGAAAAATCTCTTAACTTATATCCTAATGAGGGAGACAATGCACGTAGCCAGTGGTGGCCAGGTAAGGTTCCCAAAGTGGGTGATACTGCCCCCTGGGGGCTGCTGGAACGATCTAGGGAGGGTGGTAGTAGCCTCAGGTGCAATTAGGGGGTGTTGAACAAAAATAATGGGGTGGTGGAAGTATAAGGAAAAGAAGAGAAGAGAAGAAAATTTTGAAAAACCATTTGTACATGTTTCATCTCTTGTGTAACAGAGTTAAAGTCATAATGATTACGTTCTTTTCCAAATAAACACAAAATACAAGTTATAACCAATCACTGGTCAAGTCTGAGGACGGGGGTTAACAAGTGAGTGTTGGCAGGCCAGCCTGTCCTGCATTGTCAGAAAGTCTAGCATTCATCTGCAGCAGGAATATGTGCATGTAAAGACTTGTTTACAATATGATACTATATGGTTACATGATACAATATTATGTCATCAAAATTTCAATGCAGGAAATATTCCCACAATTTACAATAAATTATTAAATTTAAGATGCATCTTCTTTTTTTTAAATGAAGCAGATTTTAAAAAAAGTTAAAGGGTTAAAGAAAGTAGATTTCTGGGGTTGGGGAGCAGTGTTGAGTAATTTTATTTTTGAAAAGAGGACGGTAGCGAATTCTATCAAACATTTAAAGAACAATTAATTCCAATACTACATAGACTATTTGGGAAAATAGGTGAAGAAGGAGTCTTACCAAATTCTTTTTATGATATAAATATAGTGCTGATGTCTAAACCAGGAAGAGTCACAACAAGCAAAGAAAATTATAGGCCACTTTCCCTAATAAATATAGATGCAAAAATTTTAAATAAAATATTAGCTAATAGATTACAGCAACTTATTACAAGAATAATACACTATGACCAGGTAGGATTTATACCAGGAATGCAGGGTTGGTTCAATATTAGGAAAGCTATCAGCATAATTGATCAAATCGACAACAAAACTAACAGAAACCACATGATCATCTCAATAAATGCAGAAAAAGCTTTTGACAAAATACAACACCCATTCCTATTAAAAACACTAGAGAGCGTAGGAATATATGGAGTTTTCCTTAAAATAATAAGTAGCATCTACTTAAAACCTTCAGCAAGCATCATATGTAATTGGGACAAGCTAGAATGATTTCCAATAAGATCAGGGATGAAACAAGGATGTCCATTATCACCACTGTTGTTCAATGTCATGCTGGAAATGTTAGCTTTAGCAATAAAAGAAGAAAAAGAAATAGAAGGTATTAGAATAGGCAAAGAAGAAACAAAGCTATCACTCTTTGCAGATGAGATGATGATATACTTAGAGAATCAAGTAAAAAACTACTTGAAATAATAAAAAACTTTAGCAAAGTTGCAGGCTATAAAATACACCCACATAAATCACTGGCATTTCTATATATTACCAAAAAGCCCAACAGCAAGAGATAGAAAGAGAAGTTCTATTTCAAGTTACCGTAGACATTATAAAACATTTAGGAGTCTACCTACCAAAACAAACCCTGGAACTATATGAACACAATTACAAACCACTTTTCACACAAATAAAGTCAGATCTAAATTATTGGAAAAACATTAGTTGCTCATGGGTAGGTCTAGCTAATATAATAAAAATGACAATTCTACTTAAGCTAATTTACTTATTCAGTACCATACCAATCAAACTACCACAAATTATAGAGCTAGAAAAAATAATAACAAGATTCATTTGGAATAGCAAAACGTCCAGAATATCAAGAGAACTAATGAAAAGAAACAAAGGGGAAGGTGGCCTAGCCATATCAGATCTTCAATTGTATTATAAAGCAGCAATCATTCAAAACTACTTGGTACTGGATAAGAAATAGAGTGGTGGATCAGTGAAATAGGTTAGGTATGTAAGACATAGTAGTCAATGACTATAGTAATCTACTATTTGATAAACCCAAAGACCCCAGCTTCTGGGATAAGGAATCACTATTTGACAAAAACTGCTGGGAAAACTGAAAAAGAGTATGGCATAGACCAAAATCTCACAACATGTACCAAAATAGAGTCAAAATGAGTTCATGATTTAGATATAAAGACTGATGCTATAAGCAGACTGGGAGAACAAAGAATAGTTTACCTGTCAGATTTATGGAGAACAGAATTCATGACCAAACAGGAGATAGAGAACATTACAAAATGCAAAATGCATAATTTTGATTGCATTAAATTGAAAAGTTTTTGCACAAACAAAGCCAATGCAACCAAGATTAGGAGGGAAGTAGAAAACTGGGAAAGAATTTTTACAACCAGTGTCTCTGATAAGGGCCTCATTTCTAAAATATATAAAGGATTAAGTCAAATTTATAAGAATATAAGTCATTACCCAATTGATAAATGGTCAAAGGATATGAACAGGCAGTTCTCAGATGAAGAAATTAAAGTGACCTATAGTCATATGAAAAAATGCTCTAAATCATTATTGATTAGAGAGATGTAAATCAAAACAACTCTGAGATACCACATCACTCCTATTAGATTGGCCACCATGACAAAAAAGGAAAATGATAAATGTTGGAGAAGATGTGGGAAAATTGGAACACTAATGCATTGTTGGTGGAGTTGTGAAATGATTCAACCATTTTGGAGAGCAATTTGGAACTATGCCCAAAGGGCTATAAAAATGTGCATACTCTTTGACCCAGCAATAGCACTTTTTTTAAAGGCAATTGGGGTTAAGTGACTTACCCAGGGTCACATAGCTAGCAAGTGTGAAGTGGTTGGTCTGAGGCCGGATTTGAACTCAGGTACTCCTGAATTCAGGGCTGGTGCTGTACCACCTAGCTGCCCCTCAGCAATAGCACTTCTAGGCCTGTATCCCAAAGACATCATAAAAATGGGAAAAAGACCCACATGTACAAAAATATTTATAGCAGCTCTTTTTGTGGTGGCAAAGAATTGGAAATTGAGAGGATGCCCATCAATTGGGGAATGGCCGAACAAGTTGTAGTATATGAATGTAATGGAATGATGAGCAGGCAAACTTCAGAAAAACCTGGAGGACTTACATGAACTGATGCTGAGTGAAGTGAGCAGAACCAGGAGAATGTTGCACACAATAACAGCCACTTTGTGGCTAACTTTGATAGACTTAGCCCTTCTCAGCAATGAAAGGATTTAAGACATCTCCAAAGGTCTCATGATGGAAAATGCTATTCACATCCAAAGAAAGAACTATGGAGTTAGAATGCAGATCAAAGCATACTATTTGCTATTTTTTTCCTTCTGTTTTGTTTTGTTTCCTCTTTCTGGTGGTTCCTCCTATTGATTCTAATTCTTCCTTACAACATGACTAATGTGAAAATATGTTTAATAGGAATGTGTATGTATAGCCTATATCAGATTTATTTTGTGCTGTCTTGGGCAGGGGGGAAGGAAGGGAAAGAAAAATTTAAAACTCAAAACCTTATGGAAGTGACTGTTGATAAATCAAAATAAATTAACAAAAATTTTTTTTTTAAAAAAGAGGACAGGAGGCCAAATAAGTTTGGAAACCTCTGGTATAGGGAGTCACAGACATGGTGATTAGATAGGATAGCTCAATCAGCATCAAATTAGTGTCCATGTGTGCCAAAGTCCCAATGCAGAGCTACCATCTCTCTTCTCTCTAGTATTCTTCTCAATCAATGTCCCAGTTGAACTCTCCTAGACCTTCTTCAGAATTTCCTTTTGCTTATCTCACTCTTTTCTTCAAGTAACCCAGCTTTTTAGTATGCCCCTGGAACAGTAGAAACGAAGCTAAAATGACAACAATAAACAGGAATGTTTTTTAATCATCTAACCATAAACGTATGTGTTGTGCTTTTCCCCCTCTTCCTGTTTCTTAGGATGCATCAAAGATAATTCCCAACATCTTTGCAGCTGTGCCTTCAAAAATAGGAAAACATGCAACGATTACAGACGTTTTGATGCAAAGATGTCCAAAGGATTTATCTTGCATACTTAAAGGCATTCAAAAGTCTCCACAAATACCAGGAAACATTGAGGTCATTGTGGAGCTGTTGCATAATATTTCAAGAGTGTTATCTGAAGATGTTGATGAAGTTAAGATACAGGTGAGTCACCTTGCATATTTTCCAAAAGATTTGGATGTCGTACAACTGGAATGAGAGGTATCTGTGAGATAGAGAGAGGAGAACTGGCCCATGTTGCCTCTTATATGCCTCTTCTTCATGACAACTTGCTAAGGTTGAGAAATATTTTCCATGTGGTGGGAACAAAATGGTAGATAGAAGGTTCAGTAGATAGAACACTGGCCCTGGAGTCAGGAGGATCTGAGTTCAAATCCTGCCTCAGACACTTAACACTTACTACTTGCATGACCCTGGGCAAGTCACTTAACCCCGATTGCTTCACAAGAACAAACAAGCAAAAACAAAACAAAAAGACTCTCCGTGTGGAAAAGAATCAGAATTGTAGAGCATTAGGGCAGGAAGGGACCTCTGGCAAAGCTCAAGACCATAGTTAGCAAAAGCTAAAGTTTGAAATTGAGTGGAGATGATTTCTAGAATCATAAACTAAATTGAAAAGGTCTCTAGAGATGTTCCCATTTTATAGATTAGGAAACTGAGATCTAGAAAGGTTAGGGACCTTGCTTGAAGTCATGCAACTAGTAAATGATAGAGTACTTGAAGAAAGGTTGGAGGTGGTAAGGGTGGAAGTGAGGTACAGGGGAGAAGAGAAGTGAATAGGTAATAAGATTTGATTTCTAGGCTCACGTTGAGATTGAGTGCAGCCCTGACACATTTAATTAATGCTTGTGGACTGATGAAATGACTAGTTGATTTTTTTTTTCTGTGATCTTAAGCAAGTCTGGCTTCCCTTTAATTAGAAAGTGGGTCTGGTAATTGTTTTGGGGCATCTGTTCTTCGGGATAAGTGTCTCCAAGATCTCCGTTTCCCAACATGGTGATGCCTAGAGTCTTTCCCCCATAAATCATTGTGTACTGAGGTCTAAGGTCACTCCCTAAGGTATTCTTTTCTAACTGAATTTGTCATACTGAAAATTTTGTTGTCCTTGCCCTGGATGCCAGAATCACTAATTACAATTCTGTATGTCTGTATATTGCTTTAAGGTTTTTAAAAGACTTTCTCCAGAATAACTTTGTGAAAAAGGAAGTTCAAGTATAAATATTCCAGTTTTACAGAAGAGGAAACTAAGGCTCAAAGACATGAGGCTCATATACAGTACAAGATGATTATATACATTTCAGAATGATAATAGTATATGATGGTTAGTTAGTCACCTTGGCAGGTGTTCCCTTAAATTCAAGTCAATGAAGGAAGCAATTATTAAACACCTAAGTCAAGTCAGCCAGCATTTATTAAGAGCCTACTGTGTGCCAGGCTCTGTGCTAGGTGCTAGGGATGCAAAGGTAAAAATGAAACACCTCCATCATTGAGGAGTTTATATTTTATTTGGGGTGAAACAATATTCACAGAGAAAATTAAAAACAAGATATATACAAAGCAAATGGCAATTGTATATGGATCTTCCTAGATCATCATGGTACAGTGGAAAGAGAGGTAACTTTGGAGTCGGAAGACCTGAATACAAATGCAGCCTGTCACTGACTGCTTATATGATCTTAAGAAGTCACTACATAGGGGGCAGCTAGGTGGTGCAGTAGATAGAGCTCTGGAGTTAGGAGGACCTGAGTTCAAATATGGCCTCAGACACTTGACATTTGACACTAGCTGTGTGACCCTGGGCAAGTCACTTAACCCCATTGCCTAGTAAAAAACAAAACAAATGGAAAAAGAAGTCACTATATCTCTCTTCTCTTGGCTTCAGTTTCCTCATCTGTGTAATGAAGGAATTGTCTAGATGACCTTTGAGGTCCATTTTAGCTTTGCATCTATGATCCTATGGCCTGGGTTCAAATCCTACTACCAACACTTAATATCTTTGGGATCTTTGATGAGACTCTTAACGTTGCTGGGCTTGAGTTTCCTTATCCGTTAAATGAGATGGCTGAATTAGAAAGTCTCCAAAGTCCTTTATGATTCTAAGCCTGTGATGCTATGATTCTCTGAAGTTAATTCACCTGGTCCCTACTTGTAAAATGAAGGGGTGACCTAGATGACCACAAAGGCTCCTTCCAGTTCTAAGTCTGCGATCCTGTAACTTACACAGTTGTCCTATAGCTGGAGGCAGAGTATTGTGTGGGTAGAATGCTATATTTGAAGCCAGGAACACTTGGGTTAAAATCATGCCTGGGACGCATTAGCTGTGCAATCACGGGAGAGGTAGTAGAGTAACAATAGCAGTAACAACAGTTAGCAATTACATGGTACTTTAACATTCACAAAATGCTTTAAAAATATTATCTCATTTCATCCTCACAACAACCCTGGGGGGTAGGTGCTATTTGCATCATCCCTATTTCACAGGTGAGGAAATTGAGGAAGACAGAAGGCAAGTGATATTTCCAGGGTCACACAGTGAGTAAATGTCGTAAGCTGGATTTGAACTTAGGTTTTCCTGATTCTGGGTCCAGGGCTCTCTACTTGTACCTAGCTGGTTCACTGGGGAGAACACTGGCCTTGAAGAAACATGTAAAGAATATGGTGCTGGACTTGGAGTAAGAAAGACTAAATTTGGGGGCAGCTAGGGGGTGCAGCGGATAGAGCTCCAGCCTTGGAGTCAGGAGGCCCTGAATTAAAATCTGGTCTCAGACACTTCACACTTACTAGCTGTGTGACCCTGGGCAAGTCACTTAACCACACTTGCCTCACCAAATATAAAATAAAATAAAATGAAGACTAGATTTCAATTTTGGCTCAAATATGTAACTGGTTTTGTGCAAGTCACTTCTCTGCATTTCAATTTCCTCATCTGTAAAATGGGTGTAATAAATAATACTTGTATTATTTTTCCAGGCTTGTTGTTGGGCTCAGCTGAGACAATAGACGCAAGGCATTTTGGGGAACATTCAAGTGCTTTAGAAACATCCATTATTGTTGCTGTCATTATCATCACTATCTTGTTAACACATAATGTTCCTTTGTAGAGCTACAGCATCATAGCAAATCATATTCTGGACAGCAGAAGCATCCCACACTGGACCTTTGTGCCTGAAAGAAGCAGTAGCTCTATCTTGTTGCAGTCAATGATTTCTTTTGTGAAGAACTTTTTACTACATGAGCATTCCCTTGACATCTCAGAGGAATTCATTCACATCCTCGGCATCAACATATCAAAAGACAGCGGCCAAGAAAGTTTGAGTTTTTCCATGAAGGTGAATGACACTGAGAATGAAATCACCGGTCTGGTGCTTCTCCCACAGGAAGAGCTTCAGAAGCTGCCTTTGCCTTCCCAAGCCATCAGCATTGCCTTCCCCACACTAGGGGCCATCTTGGAAGCCAGCTTCTTTGAGAATGTCACTGTGAATGGTCTCATTCTGTCTGTCATCTTGCCCAAGGAGCTCCAAAGGATCTCACTGGTTTTTGAGAAGATCACCAAATTTAGAGATGGCAGAACACAGTGTGTTGGCTGGCACCCGACAGAGAATAAGTGGGATGAGGAAGCCTGTGAAATGGCCCTGGATGGCATGGACCAGACTCTTTGTAGTTGTCAATCAAACAAGAGATTTACTTCTTTCTCAATTCTTATGTCGCCTCATGTCCCTGAGAGCCCAGTTCTGCTTTATATCATGTATATTGGCCTGGGCATCTCAATTGGTAGTTTAATTCTTTGCTTAATCATTGAGGCCATGGTTTGGCGCCAGGTAACGAAGACAGAGATCTCATACTTACGCCACATTTGCATTGTGAACATTGCTGCCACACTTCTGATGGCAGATATGGGCTTCATTGTATCTTCCCTCTTTAGCAATCTAGTGCAACACCATAATGGTTGTGTGGTTGTTACCTTTTTTATTCACTTCTTTTACCTCTCTGTTTTTTTCTGGATGTTCGTGATGGCACTCCTCATCCTTTATGGAATTGTGATCGTTTTTCATACCATCCCAAAGTCTGTTGTAATGACTTCTGCCTTCTCCATAGGATATGGGTGTCCTTTGATAATTGCTGTCATTACGGTTGCTGCCACTGAACCGAGCCAAGGCTATGTGCGACCCATGACCTGTTGGCTCAACTGGGATAATACCAAAGCCCTACTTGCCTTTGTTGTCCCAGCCCTGGCCATCGTGGTGATGAACTTGATCACAATAGGAATGGTCATAGTAAAGACTCAGCGACCTTCCATTGGCAGCCCAATAGCTCAAGAAATGGCTACCATAGTGAGAATAAGTAAGAATGTTGCCATCCTCACACCATTGCTGGGACTGACCTGGGGCTTTGGAATAGCCATAGTCATAGAAAAGAATTCCCTTGCATTCCATATAATCTTCTCATTACTTAATGCTTTCCAGGTACGTATAAATTCTATTGATATATTTTAGTGGGGAGAGTGAGAAAGCACAGGAGATGAAAGGAGTTATAGTGATGTGGAAAGAGGGCTGGATTTTTAGTCAGAGGACCCTGGGTTTAAATTCTGGTTCTGCCACTTTCTATATATGCATAACCTTGGCCTCAGTTTCCGCATTTGTATGTTGATCATATGAACTCAAAACTTCTGGCTCTAATTAAACTATCCTAAGGAGTTTTATGGAAGGAAGTTTGTTGGGTCAGATATACTACTGGACAGTTCACTACTTAAAACCCATTGAAGTATTGTAAAGTTAATATTTTATAATGTTATTAGTAGTGTGGAGGTATCACAGCTTAGTCAATAGAATGTTAGACCTAGAGTCAGGAAGAGTTGGGTTCTGATCTCATCCTTTTTCTTCCATGTATTTGGAAGCTATGGGTATTTGATATGGTGACATATATTAAAAAACATATATTAAAAAACATTCCTATACTTTAGGCTGATATTATTATTTATTATTATTATTATTATTTTATTCTCATATTTTTGTGAGGTACAGAAAGAAACAATCCTGGGACAAGCTGTGATCTTGCTATTATTTTTTTATATTCTGTGTTCTGTGGACTACTACACTGGTGGATAAAATAACTGCTTTTTGTAGTTAAATGAAAAAATTAAAATTTAAGCTTGTAGTCTGTAGAATTCACTGAAAGCATCGTTGGCATAACTACAGTCGTAGATAGGACCATAGAGATGACATGTACCTCATTTTTTCCCTACATGACTTTGATCTCAGCCAGATCTCTGAAATTGTATGTAGCTTATTGGTTATGAATATTTGGGATGGTGACATCTACTAAAAATTTTTTTTGGGTTTTTTTTTTTTTGGCAATTGAGGTTAAGTGACTTACCCAGGTTCACACAGCTAGTAAGTGTCAAGTGTTTGGTCTGAGGCCGGATTTGAACTCAGGTCCTCCTGACTTCAGGGCTGGTGCTCTATCTACTGTGCCATCCTAGCTGCCCCCAAGTTGTTCTTAGGTTTTTATTGGTCAAAGTTGTATCTGAGTAATTGTGGGTAAGTTTGGTCTGTCTTGTAGGTCTGGCTCTAGCCCAGTTGGGTTGAATTTTAAATGATATTTTCAAGTTTGTATTTGTGATGTGACAGGTAGAAAGCTTCTTGGAAAAGATATGTTGTGGAGAATAATAAAACTAGTTACTGATATTTCTACAGCACTTAAAAGTTTTCAAAGTTTTTTTTCCCCAAAAATCTCAGTCCTGATCCCGTAGCTGCTATCATATTTCCCCCAAGCTACCTTATCATCAACCATTTCCTATTTATTTGTATTTATTCTGTTTATTTTTGTGTAGCTGCTTAGAAGCAAGGATTGTTTCATTTATTGTCTTAGCATTCTTAGCACCTAGCATAGTGCTTAATAAACACTTGCTGATTTATTGATTCTTAAGCTCTGTGACATAGGTACTCTAGGTAATATTATCCCCATTTTACAGATGAGGAAAATGAACCAAGAGCATTCTGGTAAATGTCAGTGGTAGGATTTAAACCCAAATCTTTTGCTAACTCCAGTTTCAACCCTTTCAGACAATGGATCAGGTCAGGGACATCTAATTATTGTATTGACAATCATTGGTGGCACTCCACTCATGCTGATCATTATAGGCTTTAGTGTCAAACTTTGATGGCTAATCACTTCTAGAATATCTGCAATACTTTGACTGAAAGTGGGCACAACAGGCTTCTCTAATACCTACTTCATCTCCATTCATGTTCACTTTAATTTTGATTCATGAATCCAGAACCATATTGGAACTTTGGTTTTTGCTTTTGTTTTTTGTTTGCTTGTTTGTTTTGTCTGAAACTGTTAATTTCATTGGTGTAGGGAACCCTCATGTGGAAACTGTTCCTATTAATGCAGATTGATGTTTCTCTTGTAACTGCTAGTCCTAGAGAGCTGCCTGATATGAGTGGTTAAGTGACTTGCTCAAGGTCATCCAGCTAGTGTGTGTCAGAGACAACACTTGAAAAAAGGTCTTTTTGTCTCCCAGTCTGCCCTTGTGCTTGCTGTGCCATATCATCTCTCTTGTTTGAAGTTATCTATAATTATTCCACTTAGATGATTTATATAAAGCATTGTCCAAATGATAAATCACTATATAAATACAAGCTATTATTATTGTCATCATCATTATCACTGTTATCTCTTCATTTTTTTTGGATGGCGTTAACATAGAAATGGTCCTGAAACAATTCTGCTGTTATTAGTTTATATTTAATGTTCAGCAGTCTATTGTACAGGTGGATAAAATGACTCTTTTTGTAAATCAATAAGTATGTTGGGGATGCAATCTCATCATTTGTAGACCTGCTTAAAGCATCATCAGGACAACTCCAGTAGCAGATAGGTCCACAGAGGCAGCTAGGTGGCTCATTGGGTAGAGTAATGGGTTCTGGAGTCAGGGAGACGAGTTTAAATCTGGCCTCAGATTAGTGTGTAACCCTGGACGAGTCATTTAAACTCTGTCTGCTTGAGATTCCATAAAATGAAGATAATAATAGCACTTATCTCCCAAGGTTGTTGAGATGATCAAATGAAATAATATTTATTAAGTGCTTAGCCTGGTGTCTGGCAAAAAGAGCTTGATAAATGCTTGTTTACTCCCTCCCTCCCTTCCTTCCTTTGTCCCTTCTTTTTTCTTTATTTCCTTCCTCTCTCCCTCCCTCCTTCCTTCCATCCATCTTTCCTTCCTTCTTTTCTTCTTCCTTCCTTTTTTCCTACTAGGTGTGCTCACTGTGTAGCTATGGGAGGAGGAAGAAGGGAAAATCAGCATTTATACAATGCCTACTATGTATCAGGCCTATGCTAAGCTACGGGCAGGAAAACAAGGATAGCATGTAACTTGCCCTGTTCCCACATGGCTTTGATTTCTTTTGTAAGTTCTCAAACTCAAGCCTTTGTTGAGCCCATATCCAACATTCTTTCAGACATAGACAAAATTGGGACTGGGCAAACTGTGGTACTGGTACAACATACCAGTTCTTTGCCTCTCTTTAAAAAGACAGCTGAGAATACTTTGATCTCTGGCATGTGCCATTTTAGAGCGTTTCAAAGATTTAATAATATTTCATCTAAATATGATTTTGTTTTCCAAAAGAAGACAGTGTTGAATTTTGTATTTATTGTTTTCTTTTTTGTTTTGTTTTTATAAATACTTCTTTTCCTTTCCTGTTTCCAAGGGCTTCTTTATCTTAGTGTTTGGAACGTTCCTGGATCAGAAGGTACTGTAGCTAGTTTTTGTTTTTGTTTTTTTAAATTTATGGCACTGAAAGTCTGTCTATCTCCTCATTTCAGTCATTCTTTTGTAAATATGTCCATGCTATCATATATACAATGATGATAAAGGAAAACACAGCATAAAGCACTTCTCTAATGTTAGAGTTAACTAGCATACAGGGACTTTTGGTATAAATTTAAATATATATATGTACATATATATACATATATATTTAAAAGATTTTTTAAAAAGTCTTTTTCTCCCTAACTTTACTTTTTCTATTTGTGTCACTTTCATCCTTCTAGTCACCCAGAGTAGAAGATTCAGTGTTACCTTTTACTTATTCTTCCACTTCGCTCCCTACATCCAAGCAGTTCTGACTATTCTACCTCAATAAAATCTGTCATATCTGCTCTTCTTCTTTTCATCCTGACTGCCAAAACTCTAATACATGACTTTGTTATCCTGCATGCAAACTATTTCACAATGGTCCTCCTTACCTCCAGTTTACTCTCCTACAATCTATTCCACACACAACTGTTAAAATAATATGTCTTATGTATAGGCCTGATCATGTCACTCCTGTGCCTTAAAAAAAAAACCCAACAAAAAAAACCCCCAAAACCCTCCATGACTCTCTATTATTGACAGAATATCCAAACTCTCTTGCCTGGCATTTCAGATTGTCCTCAGTATCGTTTGCTAGTTTATCATTTAAATCATGTCTCCTAACCATAGATATTTCTCAGTGTTTGCCTTAGGCCCTTTTCTCTCTATTATACTCTCTTTCTTGATAACCTTGTTAGCTCCTGTGGATTTAACTATCTATATATATGTGTGTGTGTATGTATGTATATATATGTACGTATACATGTATATATACACACACATGCACACACATATAAATATATGCATATATAATAAATATATTAATATGTCTATCTATCATCTATTTATCTAATCTTTTAGCTCTAGATCTGAAATACTATGATCTGTCTTTTCATTTGGTTCCCCTGGCCAACCAACTGATTATCCATCTATCCATCCATCCATCCATCCATCCATCCATCCATCCATCCATCCATCTTTATCTATCTATCTATCTATCTGTCTGTCTGTCTGTCTCAATCTCTTTCCTGAACTTCAGTCCTACATCATCAACTGCCTATCTGACATTTCAAACTGGAAGTCCTGCAGATATTTTAAACTCAACAGGTCTAAAACTGAACTCATCTTTCTACCCAAATTTCTTCTTCCAAACTACCCTATCTCTATGGAAGGCACCACCATTCCAGTTTCCCAGGTCCATAATTTTGGCATTATGTCGGACTTCTCATTCTCCCTAACCAATCAGCTGTCACATCTTGCCATTTCCACTTTTACATCTCTCATATATGACCTCTTTTCTCCACCCATGCAACTGCCACTTTAGTTGAGGCCTTCATCACCTCTGACTTAGATTATTGTAATGGCTTCCTAATTGTGTTCCTTCCCTCAGACCTCTGGTACTCCAGTCCTTCGTGCATACAGTGAGCAAAGTAATTTCTCCTTAAGCATGGATTAATCATGTCATTCTCCTACTCAATAAATTCCAGTGGTTTCCCACTACGAGGCTCCTCTATTTAGCTTTTAAAGTTTTATCTAACCTGGTCCCAGTCATTCTTTTCAGCTCCATTGGACATAGTTTCCCTTTCTTTATTCTTGCTTCAAGTAGAGGTTGGACTATATGACCTTTGAAGGTCCTTCTAGTGTAGAGATTCTGTCCTTTAGGAAAGGGTGAGATGAGGCCAAAGTGGTCCAGGTTTCCTCCTTTATTAAGGAAATAGGGCTTGAGTGGAGCCCAGAAGGGTGGGTTAATTTGTATAACAAGTAAGAAGCAGGGGTTGGTGGACCACGAGAAGCAAGTGAGAAGACCAATCGTTAGTATTGAAGATCTAAAACTAAAAGTGTTCTCAGAGGCCCAAAGTTCCACTGCTTTTGCATGGCAGGCCAGGACCCCATTGTTTCACAGGCCCCTTGCTACTTATCCTATGAAATAGGGACAGTATCCCTGGTGTGGTTTTTCTAGTTTTCTTTTTCACATCAGTACTGAGCGTGTTGAATATGGCGCTTTAATGAATACCAACTGACAAACTGTGGGGAGGATTTATAAATGTCTCTGTGCCTGTGCCCCATGAGGGTGAGGAACAACGAATACACATATGTGCCAAATAATTTAATGGAGAGAGTGCTAATGATTTTTTTTTTAATTTACAGATAAGAGATGCCTTAAAGGTCAGAATGTCTTCTGTAAAATGGCTGTCTAGACTATCAGAGGTAGAAATCTCACCCTGTTTATGTTTATAACACTTAGTTATTGTTTCTCCAGTTTTAATCATGTTTAAGCAGTTGGCCATTGAGTAAAAAAAAAATAGGCTAAAAGAGGGATTTGGATGAGATATAAGAAATAAAATGTCCTAAGACGTGAAAACTGGAAATCTCTGGGAAATCTTCCATGTAAATTTAAAAAAAAAAGTAAAGGAGGCATCATAAAGGAGAGACCAGTTGGGAGAGGTAAGATATTTTGAGATCTGGGACTTTTAAGTGCCCCTCACTCATACAATTTATATCCTTTCCAGAGAATAGCCAAGGTCGGGGCAGGAGAGAACACTTAAATAAGCCCCTTTTGTTATTTGTCAGCAGTTCTGATAATAAAGGGAAAGGGCTGTGAGTGAAAGCCAAAACCATTAGCTGAGGATTTCAGTTTTCTATGCCATTGCTGTCCTTGGTAGTCACATATAATTAAGATGATTAATTGTTCACCATTAATTTTTGCTTGAGTGATAATCTTGGGGACTCTAATTGTGTTTTCTTCCCCAATAGCATTTTTCTTCTGAATCGGCACATCATCCCACCAAAGGGTCACACTAACTTGTTTACCACTGGAGGTGAGTACAAAGGAAGGACACCCAAGCTGGAGTATCTCCCATAAGCAATTTCTTTGAAAAGCTATACCATAAAGACTATTTTTACTCATGTAAAAGGCATTTCCATACTGAAAACATTTTCGCTTAGTAGCAGGAATGTATATAAACTTCTAAGTCACCAATATACACATTATGCAAATCCCAAGGTAGGCACACCAGAATTTTCCTAACAGCCTAGGAATTAGACTAGTTTCTTTGTTTTGTGTGTGTGTGTGTGTGTGTGGGGAAGTGTCCATCTACTGAATTCTCCTTTCTTTCTAGCCCCAAACCTCCCAGGACTGTAGCATTTGCTGGAAGCAGCCCAATTTAGCCATTCCATCTCCAAAACTTGAGGCTGCATCAATCTCATATACGGTCAGAACTAGATAGCACCTTCTTGTTAAGTTGTTTTTCAGTTGTGTCTTGACTCTTTGTGACCCCATTTAGTATTTTCCTGGCAAAGATCCTAAAGTCATTTGCCATTTCCTTCTCCAGCTATTTTTGCAGATAAGGAAAATGAGGCAAACAGGGTTGAGTAACTTACCCAGGGTCACACAGGTAGTAAGTGTCTGAAACCATATTTGAACTCAGGGAGATGAGTGTTTTCAACTCCCAACCCGGTACCCTACCCACTGTGCCACCCTAGCTGCACCTAGATGGCACCTTAAATGTCTTCTAGTCCAACCGTCTCATGCTACAGATGAGAAAATGGGGGCCCTTAGGGACAAAATGATTTGCCTATGATCACACAGGCAAAGTGGCAGAGCTGCAACTTGAAGGTAGACTGTGCATCTGTGTTGGTGACATCTCATAAATTATAAATCCATTCATGACAGCATATGTATGGTATGTTGCAATTAGCAAAGCACATAAAGTCAATTGTTATAATCTCATTCTTCTCAGATGATGTCCCTAGGATCTTAGCATCATACTTTTAGAACTGGAAGGGATTTTTAAAGGTCACCTAGTCCAGCTTCTTCGTTTTACAGATGAAGAAGTTGAGACCCCAAGAAAAGACCCTAGAGTGACTCCTTTTGCATCAATCAACCCATTGCTGGATGACTGGAAACCATACAAGCTCAGAAGACTGTATTTCACCTGAGTGTGCTGGGACATCTAGTCCTTATATGCTGTGTAACAAGCTTTGGCAGGAGAACCAGCCTGACTATACGAGCATTCAGCTGAGCTGCATCTCCATCAGACAGATGGAATACAGAAAATAATTGGTGAAAAGTATCAAGCACAGGATTCTAGACTTTTTATTGGAAGACCTTGATGGAAACTTCTCTTTGAAGAAATAGCTAAAATATAACAGAGAGAAAACAGTTGGTATTCTCTGCCATGGGCCCAGTTCAATTTCCAAGGCCCTTCATCGACTGAGTAACTGGAACAATGCTTAGGGGGCAAGATTTGAATACAAGATTTGAAACTGCCACTACTGGTGTCTTCCCTTTGAGATCACCTTCTATTTACATTGTATTTACAGTTGTTTGCATGTTGTTTCTCCCCACGTGAGCTCCTTGAGAACAGAGATTGTATTTCCCCCTTTATTTGTATATGTGAGGCTTAGCACAATGCCTGGCACATAATAATGAAAGCTTGTTGATGATAGTGGTGGTGATACTGATGACTGAATGACTTGCCCAAGGTCACACAGTAAGTGTCAGCATCAAGTGTGAAACATCAGGTCCTTAAGGTTTTTGTTGTGGCAGAAAGTCACAAAGTATAACAAGGCTGATGATGACCATTGTATGTCCCTTAGCGTCTACCAAAGTGCTCTGAATATAGCAAGTGCGAGGCATTATCTGAATGAATTTTGTTAAACTTTTTGACGTGGGTAGGATGATGACTGATAGCAGCTAGAGAGCTCAGTCGATAGAGTGCCAGGCCTGGAGTCAGGAATATTCATCTTCATGAATTCAAATCTGTCCTCATACACTTTGTAGTTGTGTGACCCTGGATAAGTCATTTACTCCTGTTTGCCTCAGTTTTCTCATCTGTAAAATGAGCTGGAGAAGTGGCAAATCACTCCAGCATTCTTGCCAAGAAAACCCCAAATGGAGTCATGAAGAGTCAGACAGGACTGAAATGACTGAACAACAATAAGCAATAACTGTAGTTTGATGGCTAAATCCATGCTGCCATGTATGAGGACAAGTCCTAGGAGACAGTGAAATCTCTGACTTAGGGTCAACCTGGCCTGTATTCATTCTTTTGAAAGTCTGGCAGGTTTTTAGGCATCACTAAGCAACCTAGACCTTTGACAAAGAAAGTGCTAATTATGCAAAGGAGTTATTCTTTACTGGAGAGAGTCATTAATAAATTTGGAGAAAGGCAATCTTTAGTACCAATGCTTTGCAGTCAAATAGAATTAACTAATATCATTTGGCATTTCTCAGGGAGAGTGAAAATGAAAGGAAGGAAGATTGTTAAAATAACTGGGCTATTAAGATCCTATGTGACCTTGGGAAAGTTGTTTTGTTTCTCTGGGTCTCAGTTTCCCCATCTGTAAAACAAGAGAATTGGACTAGGGGACTTTTAAAGTCCCTTCCAGTTCTAAATCTGTGATACTACAATCCAATGGTCATCACCTGAGAAGAATCAAGAATTCAAGGATCTAGTTGTGCCAACGCCAATATCGTGCCTCACTTTCTTCACCTATAAAATAATGGGGCTGGACTAAGTAATGGTGTCAAAATCAAATGTTATCCTATCCCTGTACCCTGTATTGACCCAGAAAACCACAAATTAACATTATCTATGTTGTATTGTATTTTTTTTCATTTTGTGAAAAATTTCCCAATAATACTTTAATTGGTTGAGACTGCAGGAAGAGTTTCATAGGCAGTTTGGCCCTATCTGGCCTTGAATTTTATAGCTCTGGAGATAATCCTCAAGGTCCTTTGTGAGTCTGATATTCTTGGATTCTATAATTCCATAACTATTGTTGAGTGTGGTGTTGGGTGGAGAACTTTGTATTTTATTGCTCATAACTGACTATTTGTTCATCTTTCCTAGCAGGGCATTCTTACTTCTGGAGGAGAAGATTTCGAGAGAGGAAACAGACTTCATCTTGCCTTCTTTGCATTTGGAAATATGAAGGAAACTTCTAATTTACATGCATTTTTTTGGGGGGGAGGCAGTAACTAGAGGGAGAGTCAGGCTGCTGAGCACTGTCTCTGTCCCTGCTTTTCAGGGCTAAGTGTTTCCCCCTCCAATCAACAATTTTTATGTCCAAAACACGTGGTGTCTGAATATCTTTATGTTATACTGGAAAGGATTGTTATGGACAGTGGGACTACCAGTTGTTTTAGATTTTTCTGCTCTTCTGCAAAGAATCAGATTTGCCATCTTGGCCACATTCAAAGAATCTTGGAATGGAAAGGGATTTTGTGGAGGGAAAATAGGGAGATGTGGGCTCAGATGATAGAAAACACAGAATCCCCAATTAGATAGTCCAATTAGATAGATTCAGAGCTGGTTGAATGAACAGGCTCAAAGACTTAATGATGCCATGTCAAGTCTCCAGTGGAGTGTCCCAGGAATCCATGCTTGTCTCTGCCATTTAAACATTTTCATCAGTACTTTGGGAAAAGGGCTAGATGGCATGCTTACTCAATTTTCAGATGAAAGAAAACTGGGAGTATGAGCTAACATAACTAGATGACAGAGTCCAGGCAGAAGAAAAAAATCTTGATACACTAGAACATTGGGCTGAAGCCAATAAGACCAAATGTAATAGGGATAAATGCAGGGGTGTGCTAGTAAATGTTTAACAACCAGCTCTCTGAAAAAAAATGCACACAGGTCATTTTTAAGCTTAATCTGCATTATTAACATTTTCCTTATTACTTTCTTAAGTCTTGACGATCAACACAACAGTAATATACTCTGATTTGTAGCACTTGCCAATTTCTGAGATGTAAGTGCCCATAGTGAAAATTTAATATTTGGTGCTCACAAGTTTGTTTGAGCTTACTTTAGCACACCTTTGGACCCAGTTTTACACTTGGGTTCAAGAAACAGATTTCATAAGTATAAGATGGGGAAGGCAATACTAGACAGCAATAAGTCTGAAAAAGATCTCAGTGATTTTAGTGGACTACAAGCTCAACGTGAGTTCAAAGTGTAAGGTATGCATTGGTAAAAAGTTAATGTGAACTTGGGTTGCATTGAAAGGCTTCATTTCCGATAATGATAAGGTATTCATCCTGCTCTACTTTTAGCTGGTTTATTGTGTTCAATCCTGGGTGACATATTTTAGGAAGTACAGTGATAAGCTGAAGGACAACCAGGATGTTAAAAGGCCTTGAACAATGGTCCTTTAAGGATCAGTTGAAGGAATTTGAAAACTTTAGCTTGGAGGGGGAAAAAAAGGCTGAGGGGGGTGGGATAGTAGTCTTCAAATATTTGGGAATCTGTCATGTGCAAGAGGGATCAAACTTTCTCTCTCTGGTTCTAGAGAGGATAACTGGGAATTATGGGTGGAAGTTCACATGGATAAGGAAGGAAATAAGAATTTATCAAACCCTTACTATGTCCTAGGTGGAGGTAGCTAGATGGCTCAGTGGATAGAGCGCTGGGACTTGAGTCAGCAAGACTCGAATTCTAATCCAGCCTCAGACACTTACTAGCTGTGTGACCCTGGGCAAGTCACTTAACCTCCGTTTACCTTAATCCATTGGAGAAGGAAATGGCAGAACACTCCAGTATCTTTGCCAAGAAAACTTCATAGACAGTATTGGTGTGCTCTGGTCTTTGGGGACGCGACTGAATGACTGAGCAGTAATATGTATGAGGCACTGTGCTAAATGCTTTACAATTATTCTCATTTGATGCTCACAGCAACCCCTGGAAGTAGGTGCTATTATTATCCCCACTTGACAGATGAGGCAACTGAGGCAAATTGTTAAGTGACTTGCTCAGGGTCACACAGCTAATAAGGAGCTCACTAACTCACAAGGCAGCTCATTTCACACCATGGAGATTGTTTTAGGTCTTTATTCTCTCACCTAAAGGTATAGTTACCCCTCTAGCTTTTTGTCATTGCTAATGTGATAAAAAGAGCATTGGTTTCTTCAATCAAATCGTTAATAAAAACATGGAAAGGGCCAATACCCTATGGCTCTTCAGTAGAGAACTTTCTCTAGTTTGACATCAGTCCATTGATTAGTATTATTTGGGTTCAACCAGCTATGAGACTCCTCAACCAGCTATGAGACTCCTCAAATTTACTGTCGAGACTCCTCAAATTTACTGTCGTTGAGCCCACATTTCTCCATTTGTCTTACAGGAATATCAGGTTAAAAGCTATTGAATGTTTTCACAAAGTTCAGATACAATATGTCTACAATATTAACTGTCTGAAAATCATTTCCATTGTTTTTCAGGCATGTCTGACTCCTCATGGTACCATTTAGGGTTTTTTGTTTGTTTGTTTTTTTGGTGAGGCAGTTGGGGTTAAGTGACTTGCCTAAGGTCACACAGGACTGTTATATGTCTGAGGCTGAATTTGAACTCAGGTCCTCCTGACTCCAGGGCTGGTGTTTGCTCTATCCATTGCGCCGCCTAGCTGCCCCTAACCATTTAGGGTTTTCTTGACAAAGCTACTAGAGTGGTTCGCCATTTCCTTCTAGAGCACATTTTACAGATGAGGAAACTTAGGCAAACAGGGTTAAGTGACTTGCCCAGGGTCATACAGCTAGTAAGTGTCTGAGGGCGGATTTGAACTCAGGTCCTACTGATTCCAGGCCCAACACTCTATCCACTGTGCCACTTCGCTATCCTTGTACCCCTTAACTGATGATCGTGATACAATAATCTTATTGTGATCACTGGCTGGTTTACTTGAACCATGAATCCTCTTAGTGTTCCTAGACCATAGTATACTTTCTTCAGAAGATCTGGATTCACCTCATGCTCATTACCTAGTTCTAGTAGTTCAGATTTTTTTTCTTTTTCTTTCTATTTTATGTCGTGTTCTTATATTTGCTGAACTCTTGATTCTGGTTTTGATTCTTCTCTGCTTCCTCAGTATCTTCTTTCTTCCTATATTATTTCAAATATTATTTATTGTTTTCTAAAAACTTATAGATTTGTAGAATATCAGAGGCAGAAGTGACTTTAGGGATCATCTAGTCCTAAATGCTCATTATCATTTTATTTTGTATAAATGAGGAATCTAAGGCCCAAAGAAACTAAGTGATTTAAAGTCGTCAGCAGGACCGTGAATAGATCCCCAAACCATTTTAATTTTCTCTTATAAACTGAAAAATAGCATAGTGTTCCTTAAGTCCTTCCATTTTTCTAAAAAAGGAGATAAATGAGCAATTAACACATGTGTAGTTAGTGAATGCCATCGATGGGAAGACTAACATAGCACACATCAGGCCAATCACTGAAATAGTTCGCTCATTGTCATGGGGTATTTCTAGCAGATGCACAGTTCTTGGGAAGCTTCTCCTGAAAGTTTCTTTTGCCCTCTGCTGTGACAAACTGCCTCTTCACCACACCACTGGGC